TCTTAATGGATTAGTGTCTTGAATAGAGGAAAATTCATACGACATATATAGAAGCGTCAGGTTCTAATACAGTTATACAAAGCTGCTAATTACACAATATTTATTTACAACCTATTAATATAATCCGTTGGTTAAAATCGGCTACTGTAATATGCTATAAATTATCCATTATCGGCTAACAGCCAAAATAAACATAATAAGAAGCAAGAAGAAAGACATTATTGTATAGCTCTAACTTCGTCTTCCTTGCAATAAAATGCTACATAAATCATTTGCTTCCTTAAACTAAGGTGTTTTTTGTTCAGATTATTGTATAGAATTAATATTGATAAATGGCATTGTTAAGGCCTTGTTTGTTTAGCATTCTGATAAAATTTTAGCCTTTCTAGGAAGTTTAGAGGATGCTTGGATACAAAACTTATCCAAAAAATCCAAATATTTTTAACTCAATCACTTTTTTTAATTCAACTTTAACTCAACCCAACTATCATTAATATTATTAATATAATTAAATAATATCAACCAATCATTCTTACACATCACATCAACCTTAATTCACTATTCATCCACTCACATAATTTTAACTAACCATCACTTCAAATCATCTCTCTCATACTTTTACATCAAATCAACTTTAATTATTTTATTTAAAATATTATTTTAATATACCCACTAACAACTAATCATACCACATTTTTCAAAATTAACCAAACCAAACCAAACCAAAAAATTTAAACAAATCCCAAAATTTTTATATCCAAGCAACATTTTCACTTGGTCAAAACAACTTAAATTGGTGTTTGGTAATTTAGATTTTTCAATTGTCATTTTGGGAGAAAACGCTGGTAAAATGCTACTATGAGCAACATTTTCTATAGCTGATTGCTAAAGTATTGCTATTATATTCATAGAATCACTAATAGTGCTACATGTTTGCATGATAAAAATTTCAGCCTATGATTATTAGTATATTATTGTTGATGAATAATTAAAAATTAAAAAGAGAAATAAATATTTTAATAAGAAGATGTTATTGCTGAAATATCAATAGTGTATCATTAGTAATTTTATTTGTTAAAAGCTATTAACGAAAGTTAATTTAATCAAACACCTTTTCCAAAACAACTAACACAGTTAACTAATTAAAACAACTAATGTAACAACTGATGTAACAACTAATGTAATTCATTGGTCAAAATAGTTGATAAATCCGCTAACAAGTACCACTAACTGATTGTCGACAAGGTATTATTTAGCATTCATCTGTCAATCATAAGATAAGCTCGATATTAACTTATAAACTATCGAAACGTATCTTAAATATGAACTTTTTATGTTTCATTAAGAGAGTGAACTTCTTGGTATTTCGTATTGTGCTTCGATTTATGACTTTTTTTTATATAATTTTATGTATAAATAATGATGCGAAGAGTCTACATGGTCCCTTTTTTTTGTCAATTTCTATTAGAAGATTTAAATATTTTGAACACTTTGTACCTCTAATTATTAATATATTTTAAATTTTAATAGTTTTATTATTTATTATCAATCTATTAATATATGTTACATCATATTAATCATCAATATTTGGTTTGATAACAATATTGCATGTAGTAAAACAAAATAATAATTATATGTATCTACAAATAAAAATTAATTTTTCTATCAATCCTAATTGTAAAATAAAATTATTATTTATTCGCTGAATTAATTCATTAATCAAACCTATTATTATACGATATAAGTTAGAAAATTATTATAGCATTGAATAATTGAATCTATTAATATATAAAGAGGCAATGATATTTACTTGAAATAGCAACTAAAAATAAGCAAAAAAACATTTAGTTTTCCGCCTACAGTATTCACTATATTAAGTAATATTTTTTGTCAAAATTTAAAAAATTCCGCCTAAATTAATGTACAAAATTATTTTGATCAGATATTGCGGCTATTACCTTTATTAGTTGCATGATTTAAATTTGGAATATAATATATTGACAAAACTTGCAGCTATTACCTTTATTAGTTGCATGGTTTAAATTTGGTATATAATATATTAGAAAAAAATAAAAAGATTTTTATTTAAATTTAAAAATAAAAAATAATTATTCATAACTAACGGGTCAATATTAACTTGGACGTAAACGAAATAGTCAATTATTTATAGTTTAATAAATTACTCCATAATTTACGAATCAATATTAACTTGGAAGTAAACGAAATAGTCAACTATTTATAGTTTAATAAATTACTCAACTACTTAATTTTTTTATTTGAATAGTTTATACAATTATAAATTATTTGAAGTAATGAAAAAATATAAATTTAATATTTATACTTATTATTCACATAGGTTGTTAAATATATGATAATATTTTACCAAAATAACTATTTTATGTGATCACATATAGTCAAATCGATTTTCTGAATAAAAATTTTGAAATGATAATTTTTTAGAAACGAATATAATGTAACATACTATCAGTTACGTGCACCGCACGAGTTATGTACTAATTTTAAATAGATATTTTTATATAATTTTGCACAATTTAAAATTTATATAATATTTTCAATAAATTAATATAGGTAAATTGTATTACATATTGATTCCATATTTTTTAAAATATTATTTAATAAGTATTATTTACTAAAAATTTTTAATTTATAAATATTAATGAATATCTCTTACCGTGCACTGCACGGGACTCATACTACTTTTATAGACGAGGAATATCATTTTAAATAAAAATAATAATGTAGATTTTGTTAAGTATAAGAAAATTTGAAATAAATAACTTATATTATTCTAAAAATTATTATATATAAATTTCCTTATTATCTCAAGTATATTACATCGTGTGTCTTAGTGATATTAGTGTATATAAGTTGATTTTTATAAAAATCATTACTGAATTAGTTTTAAAAATAGCATCAAGATATACATATTATACAATCATTAATAAGGATATGATTCTAAGGCATGATTCTTATATACCAACACATTCAATATTAGATAGGATCTGCATTTTACTCAAAATATTTAAAAGCAATCACCACCACACATATTATCACACTCCTCTATCCACGTAGAGATGGCCACGGTTGGACCGACCCAGAACTGGTCCCGAACCCCTTAAGGACTGGTTACGAGTCGTGTTGTACTCCTTTTTGACCCGCCGGACCGGGCCGGTTCAGGCTTTTCCGACGGGTCACAGTTCTAATTTTATTTTTTTATATTTTTTATCTTTTTTAAAATCGACGGTTCAATGAATCGCTGGGTCGGGCCGGTTCATTGTACCGACCCGTCTATACGGGTCCAACATTTGAGGCTCGTCGACCCGGCGGGCCGGGCCGAGCCTGGCCACGGTCCGTTGCCTGGCCACCTCTACATCCACCTAATTACGTTATGTCTTATGAGAGAAAGCATAGAAATTAAGAAAACATAAGAGCATCTCCAATGCTTAAATGTAGTTGTAGTAAATTACACTCTATATTAACATATTTAGCAATTTATCCACTTTTAATCATCCAATGCACAATGTTATCACAAATGTAGTGATGAGGTGGACATAATTAATGTCTACAATGTAGAGAAGAATGTGGTTCATCCACATTCTAGTCAACCAATGGAGAGAGGAGAGAGAAATATTATTATCATTTTTAATCTAATTATTTAATTCTTTTTCTTTCATATTTATAAAAAAATTTATTTTGGCCAAGTAGACTATATTGTGTTTGATTATATTGTACATTGGAGATCATTTTTTAGAATTAAAGTTGTGAAACTAGCAATTATCTTATGTGGTTCACAATCCATCTAATTAATTGACATTTGTCAAAAATTATGCAATAACAATATTTGTGCATTGGAGATGCTCTAATAGTTGTGCTTGGGAATTATAAAATCCGTTGTAAATTGTAAGGTAATGTAAAAGCAATTGTTATTAATTTTCTTTAAAATCGTTAATAATCCGTNGGAATGAGTCAATAATTGATATTCTTGCGCTTTATTTTGTAAAGTTGACCGAGTTAAATAACTTATTTAGGTTAATTTTTAAGCATGATAGAACAACACAAAATGAAAATTCTTGATAAAAATTAAATAAATTAATGGTAATAATAAATATCCAATATTTATGGCGCTCACAGGATGCCACGTGCCACCAATCAAAATAATTCATAAATATTCTTAGTAAATAAAAAAAAAGTAAAAAATTGCAAGAGAAACATCAAACACACAAGCGTCAATGTTTTGAGATGATGAGTCCATCACAAAGTCAAAAGGGAAAGAACAAAAGTCCACTATTGTTGACTGGTCTAATCACATCTCATCACATCTAAAAAAAGTCCTTTATACCACAAGATAAAGACATCTCAATACATACCCACTCTGCACAATTATCAGATTCACAAACACAAATGATTTAACAATATTTACCATCAAATTTTCTGCAAGGACCATATACACTTTCATCAAAAGAAAGATACCAATGATGAAAACACAAAAAATCATTCTGCAACCTATCTTCTTTCTCATCAACACTAACAAATCTTAGCAATAAAGCAACAGAAATAACAAATAAATAAATAAATCATTTTAGTCGAACGCTAAACACTTCTTCTTCAGCCAACCCGTATCAAGAAAGTGCGTTCTCAGTAGGGTGGTGGAGGATAAGGAGCCGCTGGATATGGACCTGCTAAAAAATGCAATCTAATTCAATTTTTCCATTACGCACACTATAATATTTTCATAATAGCAATCATCGATAAAGAAATAAATGAATAAAAATGTAGATCAAGATGCAGAGTTATCTAACCTGGTGGAGGGTAAATGAATGGGTCGTGGGGAGGTAGTGGATAAGTAGCGTTTGGAGGATAAGCTGAGGTCGGGGGATAAGGATAAGGATAAGGGGGCGGGTGATAAGGCGGTGGGGGATAAGTGGCGGCATTCGGAGGATAAGGAGAAGGTGATTGATAGCTAGTTTGGGGGTAAGGAGCCATAGAAAGAGGTGTCGAATACATTGGAATTTGAGGTGTACCGGCAAAAGGTGGTGCCGATGGNAAAAAAAAAAAAATTATGAATTCATGAGATATTTAACTTGTTAGAGATTAAGACTTTTCCAGATTTGTCAGGATTTCAAAAGAAAAAACTATATATAAAATTTCATTTCAAGTCTCACTTTCAGACTTAAGATTTCACATATTCCTCCTCCTAAATTTGAAAATCTTAAAAAGTCTCAAATTTCATCAAGTCTCAAAATGTCACTCAAATCCCCAAATAATGCATCTCCCTAGTTGTTTATTTGCTTACATTTGCATTGGCATAGTGCATGATCAGTCGAACTTCACCAGAATACCTACGAATAGAAAGCATGCATCAGGTTCAGTAAAAGAAAGTTAGGTCTAGCGAGCACAATGAAGAGAAATCGTAAAAAACCATCAGAACACAACAAAATTGACGATATACGAGTAGAGCCTATCACGTTAATGCATTATCTTTTTTTAAAAGAAATTTTGACATCTTTTTTAGCAGAAAATAAATTTTCACACGCCACTTGAGACGGGAAAATCTATGATAAAAAAAGTTACAAATAATATTCAACACATGAACTTAAAAGAGAAATGCAACTTCATTCGCAATCCTAGTTAACCGTTGACATGTACCAAAAGCCAAAGGCAATAGACAAAAAAAGCTTTGCTAGTTTTACCTTCTCCAGCGTACAGCTAAGGCAACTGTACTAGGTTAATAGAGACTAATCACTCCTCAAATTTACTCTCAAAATACATCTAAAAATGTCAAATTTACTCTCCAATACACGTCTAGATGAATACATAAGTCTATTTTCTAATGGATAACATAGAAGAGATCAATAAAAGCTCACAAACAGAGAAAAATTGCTTTTTAAGTGAGCAATTGAAATTCTTTTAACAACAATAAACCACCTGAAGAACCAAACTGCAAACAAGAACCATTCTCTCACTAACCGAAGAACACAATTGTTCAAATGTAGCTCACCACAGAGAATCATACCTTCCTCTTTTGTCCTGAAGAGGCCACGAGCTGTCATCGTAACCCTGCAACAGAACTTTCTGCAACTGAATCCTGAAAATAATCGAACATACAAATTAATCAGAATCAAGAACCCGGAAAGAAATTCAAGATTACCATTGCCCATAACAGAGATTAAAAAGGTCTTACTTTCCACTTCCGATGAAATCGTCGAAAGTGAGTGTGTTGCTGTTCCAAATGACAACAGAGAATTCCCTCAGACCTTCTATCAAGGTAAACACAAATTTCTCTTGAAAGGTCGGATTTTTACCTCCATCTACATAAATTTCACCAAAAATCATTTCGAATTCATTCGAACAAAAGGCAAGTTTATCATACATACATTTTCGCATGAAAATCTACCTGTGCAAGTACGCGTACGATATTTGGTGCTAGCATATTCGAGACAAACGTAGGGATCTTGCCTAGAGATCCACTCGGTGTCTTTCAGTTTGTTACAACCAACGACTGAGATCGGAAAGCGTAACCATGAAAATAAATCAAATCACACACAAGATCACTTTTTTTTTTTTTTTAAAAAAAAGAATCTTTTTAAAATATGGCAATATAGACAGAATAATCGAATCTTACCAGTGACTTCGAGAAGTTGACCTTGGATGCCACAAATCGACATCGGGGTAAAAGGTGAACAGCAAGAACGCAAAGGAGATGTGTTTTTTTCCAAATTTCAAACTGCAATTAAATAATGAGAAAATGAAGGAGGAGTCAAATTGGGGATCAGAAAATGGATTAATTATTCAGATTTCAGAAAAGGGTTCTTTAAGGAGATTGGCGATTTTCTCTTCTGCCCGCGGCTACAATGGATTAAATAGGTTTTTGGTGGAGGAAGTTTCCATTGATGTGGTTATGAAGGATCTTGGTGCTTGCATCTCTATTCGCAGCGCGTAGTGTTCGTGCAGAAGTTTTGATGTATGTAAATTACATTTAGAATTTTATCGTATTTTTTATTTTTTCACGACATAACACAATCCATTTACCCTTTTTAGAGGAAATATTATTTTTACTAAATTATTTTATTTTAGAAATTCTATATATTTAAAAAAAAATGTTTGGAATAGATAGTAAATTGAAAATAAATATAAGATACAATATACAGGTGGCAATTGTATACATAGTTTTTCTTTTTCTTTTCTTGGTTAATTTTTATCAAATTATCGAAGTTGTGAATGTCAACTAAAATAATTTCTCAAAAAAAAAAAAAATCATTTTGAAGTTGTGATATTTATATGTGACATTTTCGACCCACTAAGTTTTTTTGGCTTTCATTCTTTTATTAAAATTAATTTTCTGGATGAATGAACCAATAGGTATTGAGATAAAAAAGAGTAGTCGTATAGTATTTAATTATGTAGGAGGGAATTTTTTGCCCCTGAACTATTGTTAACTGTAGATACTTTTTATAACTAAGCTAAATTCGGTAAATTTTGTATAAATTCAAAACCGAAACGAGATTCCGGTTATCGAAAAATCGTAAGCCGACTCCCAGTTGGTTCGATTTTGGTTCTTCATTTTAGTGTTACATATATCTATCTTGTACAATCACATATTTTACACGTAACTGTCGATTTGCCTTTCATTTTGACAAATATATTTCACTAGAGCTCCGAAATCTAAATTCATCATTAATCATGATATTATCCATTTTTTTTGGACGTTCTTAAAGTACAAGTTGTAAAAGAGTTGACATTCAACAATACAAACCTTTCACGTTTGAATTACCTAATTTGCAACACTAATCGAGTATGTCAACCAAGGTTTATCTAGAGTGAGATGTCAGCTTTCGTGCAACCGATTTAGTAAGTAAATGATCCCCCAAATAATAATAATAATGATGCAATAAAGCTACAAAGGAATCAAGCCGCTCGTAAGCGCTCAAACCAAAGTTCGGTTCAAACTCGAGTTTGCCTGAGCACAAGTCAAACTTGAGTACCTCAAACTCAAACTCGAGCTCGAATTCTGAATGAGCCGCATGAAAAGTGTACTTTATCATAGGGCTGTAAACGAGTCGAGCCGAGACAAGCATTGGCCTTATCGAGCATGATTGAATTTTTTTTAGCTGCTCGAGCTCGGCTCATGTTCGGTTCGAATTTTTTCAAGCAATTTTGGAAAATAACCATTAAGTACATATATACAAAGGGTATTTTAGTAATTTCATATATCTCGAACTGCTCGTAAACCGCTCGACAATGCAAAATATGGACTCGAGTTTTGACTCGAGTGCTCGCGAGCCTACTCGACTCGTTTGCAGCCGTATTTTACCACTCATAACTCAAGGTAAACTTGAGTCAAACAAAAAAAAATATCTAATTTGAGCGAAATTCGAGCTAATGAATTCGAATCGACTTCGAGTCGATCTCGAGCCTTTGCATGTATTTTACAAGTCTAGGGTCACTTTAAAAAGTCGAGCTCGAGTAAAAAAAAATGAACTGAATTCGATAAGTTCAACGTTACTTAATTCAAGTTGTTTGCATCCCTAAATCCAACCAAAAAAAAATGTT